AATTTGGGACAGCTGTCGACACGATAGACTAGAAAATCTAGAAAAAGAGCCATGTCGTTAACGGCTAATTTCGGAGTAACTTTTGCTGCGTGTGAGTCTTCCAATATCTTCCAAAATCATTAATTTTTTTTTTATATTTGATAAGGAGAAATTCAGTGTTGTTTTCTAAAAAAATATTATTGAAGATGGTCTGTGTAAGGGATGCTGCTATATTACAAACTAGTAATAAAAATTCTATTTTATAGCTTTGTCGATATAAATTAAATTACGTATTCTTAAAATAACTATCATCCAAATTACAATTACAATTAACAAAAGTCGATAAAAGATTTAAGAACAAACGCACATCACGTGAATTAGTATACGTTTCACGTGTTCATATTAGTACCATCGTGAAGTTTGCGAGTACCATCGATCGTCCTCTACACGCGGTCTTTCGCGAGTTTCGTCGCGGCACGTCGCAGGAGGCCGTCTGTGCTTGAGAGTGTAAGTGAGATGATGCGCGCGTGTGCGTGCGTGGCGCGCGCGCACCCGGAGCACGCACTTACGCACGATCGACGCGGATCGTTCGCTCGTTGTGCGTGGCGCGCTACGTTGCCATGACGACCAGTGGCAGTGCCACGCATTGATCGCAGACTCCCGCTCGCTCGCTCGCTCGGCGGTGCGTGGACTACGGAGTCGAGTGCGTAGAGACGCGACGGAGAAAGGAGAGGAGAATACGCACGCACATACACACGCCCGAACGCAGCATGTGCGCATGCATGCACGAACGCATGTAGCACGCACGCACGCACGCACGCACGCGAAGAGGCAGGCATCGGGGATAATGCGCGTACGAAGCGGACACGCTGGGCTTCCTCGCTCTTTGCCAGGCTTTTCTTCGTTTCATGTTTTACAACGACGATTTAAAACGTCGTTTAAACTATGGACTTGTTATTATTCTCGCCTATGTACAACAATGATTATTAATTCAGCTCTCTTCTACGTCTTTCATTTCTCTAGTCTTTAATCAAATATACGTTATAGTTAGACATTTCAGTTTAATCGTTTTGCCTTTACTCTCTAAATTTTTACAGGATAACGCACGAAATATCCATATATTCTATACTATTTGCTTTATTTAACATATTTATTTTTAGTAAAATTGGTATAGAACTGATATAGAATTAAGTAACAAAGTTTGAAAATTGATTAAATGATATGACATTTGTATGCAGCCTGTATTCCACTTTTGTGTGGATACTCTGGATACTGTTTCAAGTAAGATTGATATAAACTACTAATTTCAAGATTTATCTCACATTTATCTTTTTTTTCATAAATAACAATAAAATAATGACATAAACATAAATTTAATTATTATTTTTCAGCCGCGTGCACATAGCGTTATCACAAAATATAGTCTCTAACAGTTTTAGTTCTAACTTTAAGCGGAACAAGATGCACAAGATATCCCAGTTTTTCTCTACAAAGATACACTTGGAGGTAATAAAATCGCGTCGCTACGCCGCGCGATGTCGGCCGGGCAGAAGCGGCAATAGATGGACGAAAGGGTTAGCTTCGAGATTAAAAGGAAGTCACCCCCTGCTCCTCCCTTCTCTTCCATCAATCACAATTATATCTTCTCTCTCTCCCCTGCTATCGTTCATAATTACTGCTCGTGACTTTATCCCGGCGCGGCGCTCGAAGCTGCTGGTCGACCAGCTTAATGTAACGCGAGAGAAAAAGAGGAAAGGGGAACACGGATGCTTGAAGCGAGATGAAACACCATAGACTTTTGGTACGGAGATTACTGTAAAACTCCCTGTCGGGGGTGGCAAGAATCTCAAGAAGAGAAAAAAAAGTTTCGACCCCTCCGGCCGTTGTTCTGCTCTCGTCGCGGAAACGGAAACAAAGCCGCTATATCTCTCTTTAAAAAAAAAAAAAAATCTCTGCGTCACTGTTTTCGAGCTCGCAAAATTTCTACTCGGACGAACTCAGTGAAATATTTTCTCGAACGCAATTGAAGCGCGATCGCTCGGATGCGTCCTGTTATACAGTTCGCTTTCAGTAAATAATGTCATGGTATTCAATGACGCAGAGCGTTCGCGCGTGCATTAAACGCCACCGATGAACTTACGTCATATTAAAAAAATTGTTGCTGAGTACCCAAGGTCGCTTTTTTATGTAAGTTCGCTCGGGGAAAAAAAAATATCATAGGTAAAGTCTGTGCCGTCAGCGCTGACCTTACGCAGTCCTTTTTACGCATAGAAAAATCTCGATTCGTGTGATGAATTTTTTATTTTCAATTGACAATCAATCGAATCGAGCGATTAATGAGCCGACAACGTCTAATTAATCTAGCGGTTTCGTGAAATTGCTATTGTGTTGGCGCAACCGCCGTAAGACCGACTGCTGTCGACAAACTTGACCTATCCGATTGCGCGCTCAGGAAATGGCACGGAAGCGGAAATGGGTCAGACATGTGATTTGATACAAAATGTGTATGGTTTTGCACGTCGAAAGGTTGAAATCGGAATTAATTAAGTCTCTCGCCGAATTAATGACACACACACACACACACACACACACACA